AAATCGGTGTGTTTAAAATCAATCTTCATATACACACTAAAATATTTCAAATTATGGTTTTGCATCAATTGTTTATGCCATGGTCACTTATAAACCCTTATAAATCATTTTATAAACCTTTATAAATAACTTATAAACTTTTATAAACCTTTAAGATTTTTATTGTTTTTGAATTGAATCTATTGTATCAATTAAGTTATGTTTTTTTATTTGTTGTCCATGTATTATATCGTGTATATTTCAAATTTTGAAATTTTATTTGTTTTAATATAAATAATATTGTATTTTAAAAATAATTAAGAAGATAAATAAAAAATTATGAAAATTATTATTTATGTAGCTAATAAAAATATAAAAGTTAGCAATAATGATTTAAAAATTATGGGGTAGGGTGTTGAATTTTATTAAACAAAACTATTGTAGAGGTTAAAAATGAAGTGAGTGTTGAATAATTAGGTGGAAGAGAAAAGATAATGTGAAATGTTAAAAAGAAAAAAATTAGGGTGTTAAAAATTAAACCATTGTAGATAGTCTTATATGTAAATGTTTTCTCTACAAGATGAGACGAATCTTTCACTGAGACCTCGATTGGTAAGACATATGATAAAACATTAGCAGTATGCTACAGAAGTTGTATGTTTTCAGTAAAATTTTCAATAAAGTGATTGGCAGAGCAGTAGTAGTATACAATTTTAAAATTATCATAACCGTTAATATAATAAAATATTTATAGTAAAATATATTTATAATTTTATAATATATTTTTTATTAAAAATAATGAATCTTATTCATTATATAAATTATATTATAGTTTATATGTTAAATATTATTATTTAAAAATGTAATTATTAAAAAAATATGAAATTATTTTTAGATATAAAAATATTTAATTTTATTAAATAAATAAATTAATTATATATAATGTATATATAAAATTATCAGAAATTAATATATGTTATATAATTGATTTATTAATGTCTAAATAATATGTATGTTTATATTTATATTAAATATATATTATGTTATGTTTGTTATTAAAAATAATGAATGACATGTGTAATTATATAAATTATATTATATTTTAAATGTGAAATATTATTATTTTAAATAATTTAAAATAGTTAATTTTAATTTTATTTTAATTTGTAAAAATATCAATTTAATTTTTTATTATAAATATTTTCTACTATTAACTAGAAATAAATTAATTATATATAATTATTTTTAAAATTTTATATAATGTAACTGCAAATGCTCTACCAAAAATTTCATTTGAGAGTATTGAGCAAATAGTATTTAGAGAACATTAGTATTTGGTAAATGCTTTTCCAAATGTTTCTTAGATAAATTTTGGTTGGATAATAAATAGCATATACTTATGTTAATGTTCTACCAATCAAACCCTTAGTGGTGTGTAGATGTAGTGGACTTAGCAAATAAACCGGGAATTAGATATTTACCACTACCCGGTTAAGGTAAAAAAATATCTCATCATCTTCATAAAAAAAATAAAAAACAAGATAACAGAATTGCCACCAAAGCTCCATTTTCATCCCCACACAGAGCATAAGGAACGAGGATGAGATTGAGCTGAGCTACACCCTTCAACTCGAAAATGATCTTAACACTAAACCCTAAGATTCTCCACTTTTCAAAATCTCCTCTCTCGCGTCCTTCTCCACGCTTCTACAGATCCCGAACCACCAGTTGCAAACTTCAGAATCCTCAAGATGGTAAAAGCATCACCAAAACAATCTCCCTTTCCGATTCCGCGCCACCGATTTCGGAAAAGACTGACGGAGGTGGTAACGGCGGAGGAGGAGGAGGAGGAGGAGGGTTTCTGAAGAGGTTACCGAGAAAGGTGTTATCAGTTTTATCCAATCTCCCTCTAGCTATCACAGAGATGTTCACCATTGCTGCTCTCATGGCTCTCGGTAAGACTTTTGAATTCACTTTGGGTTTGTTTAAAACTGATCAAAGTTTTCATCTTTTTGTAAGGCACTGTGATTGAGCAAGGTGAAACCCCAGACTTTTATTTCCAGAAATATCCAGAGGATAATCCTGTGTTAGGGTTTTTCACTTGGAGATGGATCTTCACGCTTGGGTTGGATCATATGTACTCTGCTCCTATTTTTCTTGGGATGTTGGCTCTCTTGGGAGCTTCTCTTATGGCTTGTACTTATACCACTCAGATACCTCTTGTTAAGGTTGCAAGAAGGTCTGTGTTTTTTTCCCAGAAACTTTCTTTTGTTTCTGATTTATTAGCTTATTTGCTAAGGCAAAAACATGAACTTTCAGATGGAGTTTTATGAAGTCAGATGAGGCTATCAAGAAGCAGGACTTTGCAGATACTCTTCCAAGAGCTTCTGTTCAAGACTTGGGTGTGATTTTAATGGGTGATGGTTATGAGGTTAGGACCCTAGTGTATAGATACAAGTGTCAGTTTGATTGTCTTGTTATAGTAGTAATCAATATTTAAGAAATCTTTAGGAGCTGGTTAGGCGCCTTATAGAGATTATTGTTTAGACGGGTGACTAGACGACTTTTTGAACACCTACACCTGTTTTTAAGAAAAATAAAAAGCATTTTGGAAAATAATTGTTTTCTGCAGGGAGTAATGATTTCACGGTTTGTTTGTCTGTTTATGCAGGTGTTTATGAAGGGTCCTTCATTGTATGCTTTTAAGGGTTTGGCTGGTAGATTTGCGCCTATTGGAGTTCATATAGCAATGATTTTGATCATGGTGGGTGGAACACTTAGTGCCACTGGGAGCTTTAGAGGCTCTGTCACTGTTCCTCAAGGGCTTAATTTTGTCATGGGAGATGTCTTGGGTCCAATTGGGTTTCTCTCTGTTCCAACAGATTCTTTTAATACCGAAGTTCATGTTAACAGGTTCACCATGGACTATTACGATAGTGGAGAGGTGAATTTTTGTTTTGTTAGGCTTTATCTGCTCTTTGATTATGCCTTGTGACCATTCACAGTTAAGCAGAACTCTTTGTGTGATTGATTTAACTGCAGGTGTCACAGTTTCACTCTGATCTTTCACTACGTGACCTTAATGGGAAAGAGGTTCTGAGAAAGACGATCAGTGTAAATGATCCCTTGAGATACGGTGGGGTCACTATATACCAGACAGATTGGAGTTTCTCGGCTTTGCAGGTGACTAAAGATGGTGAAGGACCATTCAACTTGGCTATGGCACCTATTAAGATCAATGGAGACAAGAAGTTATATGGGACCTTCTTACCAGTTGGTGATACTAATGCTCCCAATGTCAAAGGAATGTAAGAATCACTCTTTACAACATAGTCCGTACAAGAGATGGAGTTACATTGTGGCTTCTAGTACAAGCTTTAACTTTGCTCAACTTGAGTTTTGTTTTTGCAGATCGATGCTTGCTCGTGATCTACAATCAATTGTTGTGTACGATTTGGAAGGAAAGTTTGCAGGAATAAGGAGACCAAACTCCAAGCTTCCCATTGAAATAGATGGTATGAAGATTGTGATTGAGGATGCAATAGGAAGCACTGGTCTTGAGTTAAAGGTACAAAGTTTGTTGACACACAAGAAAGAAGAAGAAGAAGAAGAAAGATGACATGTTTTTTGTTCTTGGTGTTTGTTTCTCAGACTGACCCAGGAGTACCAATTGTGTATGCTGGTTTTGGTGCTCTAATGCTCACAACCTGTATTAGTTACTTATCTCATTCACAGGTAAAAGTAACGGTGTCTATCAACATCTTCTTTTATACCATTGTGTTCCAACCTGTTCATCAGCTAACTATGTTTTAATTTGTGTGAAACATCATATGAAGATATGGGCACTACAAAACGGAACAACATTGGTGGTGGGGGGAAGAACCAACAGAGCCAAGAACGATTTCCCTGATGACATGAATCGTTTGCTGGATCAAGTTCCAGAGCTAATCAAGACTTCAGTTGATTAGTGTCAAGACAGAGCAGTAAAGCTGTACAGAAAGGTATATAATTTTCAAGGAACGCACTTAAGACTTGAGAGAGTATACTACACATGTTGTTGACGATCCACATGGGAAAGAGTGAGAGAGAGAGAGAAGCTATTGAAACTTCAGAATTGATTTGCTTGTAAATTTTGTATGAAGGTTCTGATTCTACACAGCAAAGTTAGTAATAGAGTGGTCCGGCTGGATACTAATTTGTGAGTATGGTTGTTCGTTCGTAAGTTTTATAATCTGTTTAGTCCATTCCATCACGATGTGGCACTGGCCAAAAGACAAAACTGTGATTTAGTCCTTAGCAAATGACAACAAGAAGTGTGTGTTATCCTCAGAAACATCAACTTATAACATTTCTTTTGCCAGAAACGCCTCTTGACTCTGAAGCTTCGAACATTATCTGTTGAAAAGCATTACTTTCATGAGAATATAGCCAAAACATATAATCTCAAACGCAAAACTGACAGAAACTGTTCCCCAGTCTTGAGAATTCTTCAATAGCTAGAGGGAAAGGCCAAGCGAATGACAAAAGGTTGAGGAGATCAGAAGAACTGGTTCCCCGTACATATTGTTCTCCATTACTGTTCTCTATACCAACCTCAGTGGCATGTGCGAAGCCATCAAATATCAGATCAAAGAATGTTTCGTGGACTCTCAGATTCTCCACCATCTTCACAAAATATGTAAGTTATTCCGTTTAAAGATAGAGCAAGAGTTGAGGATGAAAGACCTGAATAAACAAATCAAAGCTCAGTTCAGACCTCTGGTTCAGACGGTGTAATTGAAGATGCAACAAAACGTCGTCGTTGCGAGTGAAATGTTTACAGCTCAAGGTCCCACATCGGAGAAAACTTACGTTTCCTTGTTGTATATATATGTTTAGTGCACATTAACTGTACGTCGAGCTTGGTAATGCGGGCTTGTGATCCAAATGGAGACAATAAGGTAATGGGACAATGGGCCGATCTCTTGGGCCGGGTTCGGATTGGCTTTCTACTGGCCTGCCCGTTCCAAGTCGGGAGTTGAATGTTCGGACTCGAGCGAAGGCTTGTGGTTCGAACACTCTTAGAGCGGAGGAGACTGCGTGAGGCTGGATTCACAGAGCAGCGTCCACCTCCCGCTTTCGACGGTGGAAGGATAACAGGCCGGTGCCTCCCGAGCCCCACTATGACCCAATAAGCTGGCTCCAATTGGACCATCACCTTTTTTATTTTTTTTCATCAAAAATTAAGTTGGGCCAAGAATCATTTTCACTGTTCTTCTTCTCTTTGATCTCAGCGGGTTTTTTTTTTTTTTTTTTTGGTTTGGTTGATATTCTTGTGTGCGCTTTGTAAACAAGAAAGAGAGAGAATGAAGCCAGTGATGCACAGTGGTATCGAACAAAATGCAGAAATCGGTACTCGACAGGCTCTTCCACAACAAGCTCTACAATCGTTACGTCAATGCGTACTTCCAAGATCATGGCTCACGACGAGAAAGACTCCTGCAACATCGGAGATCGAGTAATCTTCTATCCTCTTCCTTGTGTATTTGATTGTGAAAAATGGAAATTTGTGATTATTTGAGAGAAAAATTTCTTCTTTTAAATCTCTTGGTTCATTCATTAGGCTGAGAAACATTGAAAAAAATGAAGTTTTGATTTGATTATTGTGTATAGGTGAAGTTAGATCTATCAGCTGGTTATAAGATCGGTTTCATTATATTTGAATTGTAAATGTATTTACTTGGTTTAGTTCGGTTTAGCATTGTATATACAGTATAGAGTTGTAAAGCGGTTATTGTAACTGACGAGATTTTGAATAAAAAAGATATTTTACATCATTTTCTCTCTAATCTTTGTTTTCTCATATGGTATCAGAGCAATTTGAGCCGTTTTTCTTCTCATAAGATCCTTCGAGGCCATGAAGCAAGAATAAGCACTGGGTTGTTGCTGAGATCATCAAGAAAGCTCGCATCTATTCTCCTCAAGCAGCCGCTGCTGCTATTGCTGCTTCTGCATCCACTTCCTCAGCCTCCATTGCTGATTCTACTGCTCAGACCCTGGCTCCTCCACCTCCTACTTCTTAAGGTGATTTATTACTTATTTGCTCTTGCTTTTAACTGTTTCTTAGCCTCTGCTGCTGGGTTTTGCTTACAAACATGATATATATAATGCTGAGCTGGTTTCAACTTGGATGCTAGTTTTGTCTGGTCTTGTCTTTATATTTCTCCTTTTTCGACATTTTGTGGATCTTAGTGGGTCATAAATGTTTAAACATTGTTGTATGCACAATATGCATGATGCATCTTGTTAGTAGATACTTCAAACATTTGATCACTTAACTATATGTTATCTGATTGATATGTTAGTACATTTAGCTTATTTGTCTTCCCCTCTTCTAAACTTTACTGGCGATTTTGGATTTTACATTATATGTTATTCTCTTGCTGTATTTTTGTTAGGGTCTGCATGCTTAGAGATGGGAAACGTTTCTTGGTACTGGATTTCCTGAGCTACTAAGGAAGATGGCTTTGTACCGATCAACATATTCTATCAGAATTGGTGTTCAGGATGATGTCTAGGATATTTGGTTTTCCTGGGATGATTATGAGTTATTTGATGGTACTAATAGATAATATTAGTGAAAAATTTGATGAATAAGACTGTTAGTTAACTCTCACTTGGTGAGCTTTTTTTTAGTGTCTTGTTATGTAATTTTGGCAACATATGTGCATGAATGAACCTTGATGACGGAATGCTTCTTTTTATACAAACGCGTATAATTGTGTGGCCATTTCAATTTGTATAAGTCAAGTTTCAACATAAGCTTTTTTCCACTTTCATTTTTGGTATAATCTAAGATCAAGTGTCAATACAAAGATTTGAGTTTCTATTGACATTTTTGTTTCTTGCTACCTACCTAGTTTTGTTTAGTTGTCTTTGTCATCTAATCTTTTTTGATCAGAGAGAAGGAAGTAACCAGAGGTTGAAGAGAGAAGAAGAAAGAGACAAGAACCAAGTCAAGAATGCTAATGTGGCTGCAAACTGGTATCTGTTGCATATTGTTGGAGGGCAAACTGAATCGTTTGACCTAAGAAGATCTACAACACTAGCTGCTGATGATGCTGAAGCCAACGCTAAAACAGACACCACCTGCAACACAAAACAAAAATAGTCAAGATCATATCGAAGCATTGGAAGTTCCTTTCTCATTAAGCACTAGAAATCTAACTGCGTTACCCAATCACCAATAGAGATGGCGAGAAGGATTCGTGGCTTTTGAAATGGTTGGTTGAGAAGAACACAATAGATATCTACCATTGCTAGTGTCAGATTCCATGGTATAGCTAAAGCCATGATCGTCACCAAGTAGCTGAAGATAAAGTTATTAGGGTTCGTTCATATAAGAGAATATAGAAACTGGAGTTAGGAAGATCTAGAAATTACCAGAAAGCTGTGAATTGGTAGAACCGAACACCGATGGTCATGAAGAGAAGTGCGCCAAATGCTAACAGCGTTTGACCTAATCTCAAGGAAAGGCTTGCACTTGTGCCCACAGAACCAGGAACCTCAACCATCACCAGCTTTGCTTGTGTAGCACGTAAAATCTAGAACTCGAAAAAGACTGAAACTTTTGACATGGGTCTGAAGTTTTCAGTTAGATCATCTGGGGTTTGGGGTTTAATGTTTTGTGAAGGAATCAAAGATCATGATCATGGCGAAGAAGAAGGGAGGATTAAAAGAAGGACAAGTTGATGAGAGTTTCTGGTTCGCACGTTTGTTTGTAAGAGTTACGAATGGTGGAAAAGAAAAGACTGTTCATGTTGAGGAGAGTAGTGGTCTGTATTCATCAGACAAAGCAGAGCAAATGTCGGAGCAAACACTATTATTCCTTTCTTCCTTTATTTCCCAACCCCTTCCATTTTTTATTCTTCTTTCTTTTCCGTTTAATACAAAAAGTTGACTGATTTTAAAAATTAGAAGACATCTCATCATATCATTACCGGATAATTTTATTCTCATAGTATATCATAATAATAATCTATTTTAAACTAAAAGCTCATGAACGATCTTCTTCCTATATTTTAAGATCTTCTATGTTCGTAGAAAACAAAATGATGTTTCTGATTTCTTAGTTAAAACTGTTCGATCTTTCTATCGAGAATTTTTGTTTTTTGGTTGTTCTATTGCGGTCTGGATTCCCAGACCACCTCAAGCTTGATTAATAAATCAGTCTTTTGATGCAAAAAAAATAATAATAATCTATTTTAAAATAAGATATATTTTGTATTTTAATTATAATTAAAACTTGGAAACAAATATAAAATCTTATTTTTTATGCAATCTGCGTTTGTGTTATAAGAACTTTCTCAAAAGAAAAATATATTTTTATATAATAAAATACCATATTTATTTTTATAAAATGATTTCTCGTGCTGAAGTCATCTCTAGTAATGAACAGTTTACGAAACTGTGATGAATTTGTACGTTTATCAATGGTTTACGAAGAAAAGCAAAATTTTAATTAGGGTTCTCAAATTGAAATTTGGGGATTTTGTGTTATTATTCTTCGGATGATATATTTGAGCTCGTTTTGTTGTTAGATTGAACAGAAAGAACAAAATTAAAGTTACAAAGAAAAATGAGCTCCTGACCTTGTTTTAGGTTAGCAATTGTGAGATTACTTTTTGAATTTGATTGTGCCATATGGTTTCGATTAGGTGATATGATATCGTTTCTAACATGTGTGCGTTGTTGTGTTCATTTTCTTGCTCCTTCTAAAATTCTAGTCTTTTCCTGTTAAGAATACAATTACAATTATGGTTAAAATTTGTTAGATTATAGTATCTGAGATTGTGTAGTGAATTAATCTGTAGTACACAAATGAGATTAAGTCTACAGATTAGGAGAAGTGTATACTTCTGTTGATGCAATCTCAGGTTGAAATGAGCAAGAGTTGTGGTTACCAGTGGTGGAACCAGCCAAATGATTCACCATGAACAATATAAAGTTTGAACTTAAAATCATAGGGGTATTAGAAGGATTTTTAAAATTATAAGGGGCAATGTAAAGTTTGAACTTAATTGTTTCCTATTTGGGACATGCCCTACACTAAATCATATATTTTTTTTGTGCTAACTAATTAACATATACAAATTGTTAGTTATTTAATTGTAAAGCTTAACTGTGGCTACCCAATTAAAGTCCGAGTGCTTGAATAATCCGTGAATTTGTTCTTTCAAATTTTGACAATATATTGATCACTTTTTTTTCCTTTTTATCTAAATTATTTTTTATTAGTAGTTGTTTTGTTTTCTTTCTTCTTTAATATTGAACTTCCGAACAACAAAAACAAAGTGAACCATCTTAAAACTTAAGAAATAGCAAAACTAAATACACAAGTCACAAATAATCAATAAATTATTTTATTAAGTTTGTTTCAATTAATATATTAATTAAAACTATATTTTTATAATGAAATTATGATGTGAATAAATAAATTTTCTAAAATTACTTTAAATTAATATTTTAAATTATAAAATATCTCCTTTATTTGACCTATAGCAAAAATAAAATGTAATTTTTAATGACTACAAAATTATACTTTAATTAATTTTTTTTGTTAGCCGTCTATTTACTCTAGATCAAGTGGTGACCAGTCGAGTCGATTCTCCGCGGAGAAATTCCATCTGGTCGAGTCTGATCTATTTCTGATAACCTATTTCTGTGTACATCTTGATCATCCTTTAATGTTATTCTTGCTTCTTTTTCAAGGTTCCTAATCTTTGATCCTTGGATTAATATATCTTTTTCAAAGAAATTATTTGTATCAATACTACTAATATAGTCTAATAAGTTATTTTGTACTATGTTTTGAGTATTTTCGTTATCAGACATACCTGAAATGGATTATAGTTGAGTTTTTGCTGGTGGTAATGATCGCCAAAAATAGTACTTCTTTAATTCTTGGTTGAGCTTCTTTTAATTCTTGGTTGAACTTCTTTTAATTCTTGGTTGGACCTCCTTAATTCTTTGGTGTTTTTTAATTTTTTTTATGAGTTTTTGAACTGTTATTCACAAGGTTGGAACCTTTAACAGTTACTTAGAGCTATTCAGAGACAAATTCTCAACTCTTAAACAAAACTTGTTTGCATTTATTTCACTCTGCCTCTGCAAGAGGTTTGCACACACATATATAACATGACAGACTCTTTTACACAGACGCGTGGCTCATTTTATGTCCACTCTTATAAAGATAATAATGTGAAATCCTATTCATCCACTTTATTTATTTCTGATTTTACATCTTCACGTGGTTTCTGCCGGATATCACATCTTGTTGGGTGACTCTTCCATTATTGGTTTTTCAGTCTCTTCAATCACTTCATCTTCTGATTCGTCATTCCGTAAATTGCACATGAATGTGTTTTTCCAAGCTTGACTTCAAACTGTGTTTTTCTGAGTAATTCACACATTAAAGAATGATATCTTGGACATATAATAAAAGTGTTTTCCCATATCTTGAAAACGAATGGGCTTATGTCTTCTTTAATTGTTGTCACTTTGGTTGCTCTGGTGAGTAATAACGTCGAATCACTTTTATAATTAAGGCGGTGATTGTTGCTTAAGTAAATAATTTTCCTAAGCATTCCAATTGTTAGCTCAGCGTCTACTCGGATTCTGTTTTGGCTGGTGTATTCAATATTTGATGGGTCGTCCTTTGTTGGGTATTGTCTATTGATTATTCCCATGATAATTACTTTTGACGCCGGGCAACTGACTCATGTTTTTGTTTCTTGAAACTCCGGGTAATTGCTGTAATACTGCATAAATACTTCTTTATTTTTGGCGTATCTGGTGAAGTATCGGGAAACAGCTGTTTTAAAGCCTTGGGGAAAATATTTTAAGTTGTTGTTCGAGATTTTGGATGTATAGTGTTTCGATAAGTCCATAGCTGTGTAGGTTTATGGTAGTTATTGGGCTTGCTTCCGGTAGGACAATAGCTTTTGGGCCTAGACCCTGATGGTTTTTTGGGTTGATGTGTTTGTATTTGGTATTTTCTGGATAGGTATTTATTTCTTAAAAATTTTTGATAAACTTTTTAAGGGTAGGTTTTATTTGGTCTTGTACCTCATTTGTTCCAGTAATTGTTGCGATGGTTGGTATTTTTCCAATGGGTGTCATTTTTATCGCTGGTTGCATACTTCCTCCCCCCCCCCCTCAAGAAGCAGACGATCCTTGAATGAGTTTTCAATCGATTTATTTTTTTGCTTGATTCCTCGAGGGCTTGCTTGGCTTCGTCGATTGTTGGGTAGCTCTTATGAATAATGTTTCTTCCCGTTATGAATTGGGATGATTTGTGTCATTCGTCGTAGATTCCTCTCATGGGTCCGTTAAAGATAACATAGAATTTGTGGGGGTTTTTAGTGACTGGGCTTTTAGGTGGACTTTCTGGTAGAATTATGGTTTCTGTATTTTGGGTTTGAGTTTTAGGTTTTAAGTTTTGGATAACTGATTCGAGTGAATTTATTTCTTCTTGGAGCGTCTTTAGGTTTTCTTTCTTCTGCTTGAGTTGATTATCCAATGTTTTTATTATTGCTTCCATAGTCTTTCTGAAACTGAAATGGAGTATATGCCTTATGGCTGATTGTTTTATATGATATAATCTCTATATCAAGAATATCTATCAAATAGTGATTGATAAATGATTATTATGATGGTTTATCAATCTCCTATTGATAAATATAATTGGCAAATATAATTGTTTATTTTGGGTTTTCATTTCTGAATTCCCTTGTTAATGAACCAGCGATTGAATTTAATTCTCCTTCTAGATCCACTCCTAGTTGCTTGTGATATCATAATACTATAATTTCTTCATATTGATGTCTTGATCTATTACAGTATTCTTTCTTTGGTAAGCTCATAAGTTTATTGGTGGCTTTGTTTGTTACTTGCTTATTCTTTTTGACCTTAATAGTAGTTACAATTTTAGAAGGCATCTGTAGTTGTGTAAGAATGCATTCCTAAGATTTTGCTCATAAAATCTAAAATAAGACTCTAATTTAGTTTTGACCCAAAAAAAAAACTCTAATTTAGTAGATTAAATATGAGTAAATATTGACAAATAGTTCAACTCCGAATTTTATAAAAGATGTTTAAACCACTATTTTGTGTTCTATGGCCAAGCAAATATCAATTTTGGTTCATGAGAAGTATCGTATCCAAGGCTGACAAGTACTTATATGCTTTGCTTCAACATCTCTCTTTTTTTGAATAAATGCTTCAAAAAAAAACCCTTTTACCACCAGAAGCTAATTTACTGGTATAGTTTTGTGCTTGGTTTAGTTTTCGTTTTATAATATTTAATTAAACGTATAAACATTGTATATAAGATATTTTTGATGAGTGCCTATTATAGTGATGTTGGAAATATCGTGTTTTATCTAGTTTCATATATATAAATGACAATTAAAAGAGTTGGAACCTGAAAAGAAGAATGCGGCAGAAAAGAAAGATTTTGCAGATACACGACATTTTCCGAAAGAACTTAATAAGCATAATCGTTTGTAGATGGCCTAAGATGATTTATGCCGACAACACTCATAATAATACCCTTTCCAATAAATCAAAAGAAAAGAAAGGATATGAGAGATAAGAAACCAAAGTAACAAACGAATAGCAAAAGTACATCACTTTAGACTTAATGTCTCACACAACTTGGTTATTTCAGAAATTGCAAAAAACAAAGTCTTCCATTGGCTCAAAGTGCATCTAAATATCACCCGCTTCAACACTGCACAAAGATGAAAGAAGATGTCAGCTTAACACATCTACTTAGTACCTACGAAATTCATAAACATAACGATTCTTCTATAATGTTATGGATATTTTAACGTCAATACTCAACAGTCCCTCAATCTCCATGGGACTTCTAAGTATTTATAGTCAATACTATAATGATTCAGGAACACAATCACATAAGCAAGCCTTGTGAAACCTAAGCTGACAACAGCCCAGAGATAATGTCCTAAACGATCAAATATAAATATAAATTGAAAGTTTCAAGTTTACACAAGCTCAACTAGGTACCAAAAATCAATAGCTCAAACCACAATTCAATCAGATTATAATCGTAATCGGAGACGACCTTGCTAAAAAATACATAATCTAGAAAGCAAAACCATATAAATTGAAGACAAGATTTGATAGGAATCGGAGAATCAAGTATCCTACTGACCTCAAAATCGAGTCTTAGAAGTCGAGCTTGAACTCCTCCTTGGAATCTGAGAAGTACGAGAGGACGTACGGAGCAACGCGGATAGCCACAACCCAGCCGCCGAAGAGAGCAACGTGGGTTCGAAGCTGCTTCAAAGCCAAGGCTTTGTCTGGCTTCTCCATGAACATTCCAGGAAACATGGCTGCTGTTTTTTCTTCTTCTCTTCTCTTCAGATGTACTTCTCTATGATTCTAAACCCTAACCCAATTGATTTATTCGCCGTCTCCTTTTTATCAATTGATAGGTAGGCCGAGTTTTGGATATGGGCCGTTAAGTGGGCCTTTAAGTCCAGTCTGAGGAATGGTCAATTTGATTTTCTCGGTTTGTTTTCGACATCGTGAACACTCCAAACTTGAATCTCATTCATACCATAGTTTTATTTTCAGCTACGTTACGACTTTTGTAGAATATGGAAAAGATTACACCAGACCGGTGAACTTTTTTCTTCAGTTTAGTATAAAATTGAGTTATGCCAATTTGGTTTGTTTTTTCTTAAATTGTTTAAACCTAAAAGTTGAACGTATTATTTGATAAACAAGTTACAAATCCATTAAACATTTTAATAAATAAAATTTAAGATTGTAATTTGTCATTACGACTTTAATTATCAAAAGAATAAAATTTTATTTTTATTAAAATTATGATATTCATTTATGCAATTGTGACATAAATAATTTCATTTATGCAATTGTGACATAAATAATTTCATTTATGCAGTTTTGTATTTTGTGTATAATATTATTGAAATATGGTCAGAACTTATAATATTATTGAAATATCCTAATAATTTTATATATTTTTATAAAAGTAGTTACCAATGTATTTTTAAAACAAATTAAGTGTTTGAATTGTACATAGACATCAAGAAACAACTGATCAAAATTTTAAATTATTAAATTTCTTATGATGTCAAAAAACTATAGTTTTTTTCATTATTTCGCTAAAGTTTTCGTTAGAGCAAATTAATTATTACGATAAAATGATTTGGTTTCATTCAGATTATTTTCTCTAATAGGCGCTTAAAATTTCCTTTTTTGAGTAACTCAGAAAAGGAAATTATACACTCGATTTTCCTTTTTACCGTATCACCGACTTACTGAACCCCAAATCTATAAAAGACTCTCATACTCTTCTCCCCTTCGCTCCACTTTTCTTTTTTCGCTCTCGCTTCCACGATTCCCTTTTAAGTTTTTCTCTCCATTGCGATTCAGTTTCAAAACCCTAGAAAGCTTTCACAATTTTCTCTTCTGAACAGTTCTTTTTCGAAACCCTAAAAAAATCAACTCCGATTGAAAAGATGCAGGAAGAATTCGTCAAGGTTCTTGGAGAAGGCGCTTACGGTGTTGTTAACCTAGTTCGCTACACTAATCCCCACGACGGATCTTCGTATCTCTCCGCCGTCAAGAACTCATACGAGTCAGATTATGATAGTCTCCAAACAGAGTTACAGATTTTGCGCGAACTCAGGGGATGTCCCAGAATCGTTACGTGTTTCGGTGACTGTCTTCAACAAGGTCTTAGCGGTTACGGTAACGAAGTCTACAAACTGCAACTTGAATACGCTTCCGAAGGTAGCTTACGCGGTTTCACGGACCGTTACGCAGACAGAAAGTTGCCTGAACCCTTGATTAAAGATTTTACAAGGATGGTTCTTGAAGGTTTGGTGTCTATTCACGGACACGGCTACGTTCACTGCGACATCAAACCAGACAACTTACTTGTCTTCCCTTCTTCGAGTCAAGATTCATCATACCAGATCAAGATTTCGGATTTTGGTAATGCTTTAGAGGTAGGAGTGGTTCCTAAATTCTGGGAAACTAAGTTCCCGTGGGTCGGGACTCCAATCTACATGCCTCCTGAGTCTGTCCGTGACGGCTTCGCTAACAAAGGAATAGATTTGTGGTCGGTGGGGTGTCTGGTGCTGGAGATGTACACTGGGGTGATTCCATGGGAAGGCGTTAATATCAATCTTCTAGCGACTAGTCTTCGTTGTGGTAAAGCTCCCGAGATACCTGAGACGCTTCCTTCTGATGCAAAAGATTTTATAGAAACGTGTTTCTCGAGGATGCCTGAGAACAGAGGAAGCGCTTATGAGTTGCTGTCTCATCCCTTCTTGCCTCGTCCACAAGTTGGAGAAGAAGCCAAGACAAGTAACTCGTTCCTGTTGAATCTGTTTAAGTTTGGAATCAGAGGAAGAAGTTCCCACAAGAAATCAACGACAGTTGCTGTTTCTGATAAGAAGTCTCTGAAGTTGAGGTCTTTCCCGACAAAGACCACACAGTTTAAGAGAACTCTGAACAAAGTCTTGAGGTTGAACTTCGATTTAGTGTCTGTTCATTAACGTTTACATATATATATATATCTCTTGGTTAGTATGTAGTTGTAAGGTTTAGTACAAGTAGTTTTCTAAACTTTAGTATAACTCTTGTTTACATTGTACATCAAGTTTACATGTCTCAATGACAAAGTAGTACTTCTTTTTTAATCTGAATTTCTCACTAAACAAAGTTCTCATTCTCTGCAAACTCTCTGTCTTTTTAACTTCGGGAATCCTAATACACTTGAAAAGAAACGACTTGATGTATGCTCATTAGCTTTTATCTTCAACTAAGACAAACCAAAATATGAACAAGCTTTACAACAAAACAACACCGTTCCCTTATTCCAAGACGATCTACTCTGGTTTGCTCTGTCGATATAGTGCCATGAACCTTTGAGCAACACTACGGTGAAGCTGAGTTGTTTGCATCAAATGTAATTCAATCTGTTTCCATATATAGAGCATAAAGGTGGCACTAGATTTTGTTGCTCTTGAAAACGTAGAAGGGATGTCTTAGGCTAACACAAGGGTTCTGTAGACTACCCAAAGACATCGCACTTATGAATCATTACAAGTGAATCACTTGGGAATCATTGCCTCAGAAACAGCAGCAGGTGAATCATTGCATCAGCCTTGATACAAATATTCATGGATGCAAAGCTTTTTCACCAGTCACCTTATGAATGAAGTAAGCAACTGCAGCAACATATATGAGACATGATGATCATGTATCTATGCAAATGTTCCAGCTTTTTCACCAACAAAGTGTAAAAAAGGATTGACACAGAACTCCAACAACCGGGAACTTGACTTATTATGTTTTCTTTTTTTAAAACACTACTTGTCTTATTATGTATAATCACAAGATAGGATGCAAAGGAAATGAAGAAGACACTTCAGTGGAACACATGAACAGAGGCACTAACAATCTAAAACTTCATCATGTAAATGCAGCTTTCATTCCCTACCGATCCAGACATTTTAGGGCTCTAAACAATTTAGTAAAAAGCTGAATAAAAACTTTGGTTTAATAATTCGGTGTTACAGATTTACATATTCTAACTGTTAATTCGGTGTTATAGGTTGAAGAAATCTACACACTTCAGTTTAGTGTCTGTTAATTAAGTTTTAGTCTGTAGTTGATTAACGTTTAGTATATCACTTTGTTTAATCTGTAGTATTCTGTTGATTTAAGTTTTAGTTAACGTTTAGTATAACTCTTGTTTAGTTTGTAGATCAAGTTTACATGTACCTCAGGTCTTATTACGAATGTTAACAAAGTACTAGTTTTGTTCTCTGCAAAATCTCAATCTTTTTTATTGTGGTTAGCAAGTCCAAAAGCATCTCTTTTTAACTCTGGAATCCTAATGATATGATGAATGCTCATTAGCTTTTCATCTTTAACTAAACAAACCTTACTCTGGACAAGCTTTACAACCTAATAAAACAGCTCCCTTATTCAAAAAAACTATATACTCTGGTTTGCTCTGTCAATATAGAGACATGGACCTTTGAGCAACACCTCGGTGAAGCTGACTTGTTTGCATCAAATGTAATTCCAACTGGTTTTCAAAAGGTGGCACTAGATTTCGTTGCTCCTTAAAGCGTAGAGGGAATATCTTAGGCTAATACAAGAGTTCCGGAGACTACCCCGCAGATTCAACAAAGATTAGTACCTTAGAGCGCGACAAGTGAATCACTTGAGAATCATTGCCTTTGATTCTTAACAGCTACAGATGTGACAAAGAGAGATGTTTGCTTCAGACTATACACTTGCCTTTGATGTTTTGCGAAATCTTACCATCAAATGTCTACAAATGGCTTTAATTATGTAGTTTCAATATTTCTTCTTATTCTCAAGTCTGTTTGGATGGTTTTGTTGGACTCTAGTTTTGCTGCTCTCTCTCTTGGCTAATGGCTCCTATATTTTGACTTGTTGAGGTGAGTTTGGCTTCGTTTTGGGGTTGTCGGGGGTGATGGTGTTGTGCTTCAGTCGTTGTCTGTAGATTGTTTTCCTGGTTTGAGGTCTTCCCAGACGTTCCTTTTTAGTCGATGGTCATGTTTTATATCATCGGGCCTAAGTCACTTTAAGTGCTTCAGGAAACCAAAGACATTGGCCTTCTCTGATCCCCCGCAATTAGCAATCACCTTATTTCCGGCCAACTTTGCAAGCTATAAATACCTCCACAGATAAAAAAAACAATATGATCTATGTTAAGTTTATAATTAAAACAACATACGGTATGGTTATTGGTTAATACTTTAAGCAGCTACAGGACATACCATCAGAGACTCAATAACTTCAGATATATGATATAGTTATTGGTTATTACTCTAAACAATTACAAAACATAATCCATCAGAGATTCAAGTTCAGACATTTGTATACCTGGACTGCGAATTGTCCAGTCCCTCCAGCAGCAGCAGTCACAAGTACTGTTTCACCTGTTTTCATTTGTCCTGAACTCCTGCCTGTCAATCCCACAAGACAATGAGAATTTTCAGACAGCATAGCCCATATGTTTTGTATGATACGGTAAAATATATAACAGTAGATAGTTAACAAAGCTTCCCAGTAGATCAACCAGACCTTTTCAAGGGCGGTTAAAGCAGTTAATCCTGAGGTAAGCATGGCAACAACTTCTGGATCTGGCCTTGGAACAGGGAGCACGTGCTTAGCAGAAACCTATATCCATCACATGGTCAGAAACCTTGAAACAAATTAAGTGAAACAACTTGACGAGTTTTGAACATGGTCCACCAAAAGAGTGGATAAGTTGAATTTGCACATTATTTACCTCAAATCCAGAATCAAAGGGAAGCTTGGGCGAGCCACCCCTAAAGTAACGACCTGCCTGAGCTGAAGTTTACCTGCTCACAGTTTA